AAAAGCGGCACTTCCCACAGGGTACTGCCCTACTCTTCGCATTTCAAGCCACATTTTGATCCTCTTGGGGTGCTTCGCTTCCTGAACATGTGTATGACATCTTCTTGGAACGGAAATGCCTTTCGCCCACATCGCAGGCAGTTTGGCTCCTACGCCCATCTACCATGGCGTTTTCGCGTCAACCAAATGCGATAGTCGTATTCAGGTCCGCAGCCAATCGTTTTGTACAGGTTTCCACCAGTGTCGGGGCGCTGTTTGTCGACGGGGGGGGGCATTTTGTACTATCATTGCTTCCTCAGTTCCGGTTTACATGTCTCACTCTCCTGTGAACTCTTGTGAAGCTGGAACAAGGTAGTCAAGCCATCATGGTAAAACCTGTCAACTCGAGAAGAGGCTGTCTAGATGGGTCGACACGTCGATGGGAAGTAGCAAAAGTGCAAAATGCCCCCCCCCCGTCGACAAACTGCGCCCAATGTCGGTTTCTATTTATGAGTATTTTTGCGCCTGCACCTGTGGCGCGGGTTCAGATTGTTGACAATCTGCTTCACGAACAAAATCTGAGCCCATTTTTTACCCTTGAAGAAAATAATGAAATTTTGCCCTGGATTCCGCTTGGGACAGTAAAGGGTTGACAAGGCCAAAATACCGTAACTTGTCATGTCCACTATCCACCAACTAACACTTCAAACTATATGAACCTATCTTTCTCGAAGGATGTGTCCGTTAGGTCCAATTCCCGACGACAGCCAGAACCGCCTGCCGCTAGCTGAATTGAGGGCAGCGCAGAGAAAAACAATCCGTAAGAGATGTGAACTGGCTAGAAACTGCTCTGTTCGTGCGCGTTACAGCAGGGTATTAATAACGATGCCTATCCCTTTTCGCCTTATCTTCACACTCTCTTCCTACCTTTCAGGGCCTCCTTCATCACTTCAATCCCTTCAATCCAACAAATCTAAAAGTCGATCCACTTCAAAGCTGGGGCACCACAATCACTATCCTCTGATCATGCAGAGTTCATACATGTTTATCTGTGATTTTATTAGCAAGAACATTGACGTTCATTATCTTTTTAAATGGTTAAAATTTTCCAGAATTGCAATGTGGCATACCGAAAGAAACAATAAAACGTGAACACATTTTGACGTCGCGTCGTGACTGAGCTTTCTGACTCGCTTGGCTCAAGGAAAAACTGCACGCTCACATCCGCGCCGGATGCCTCTAGTGAGGAGATGGAGTCCGCAGCGCCCCAGCAGAAGACCACTTTCGCTCGATGAAGGGCACGGTGACGGGCTGGATAGCAGCGACACCCGGGATGTCGTCTCCATGCTCCTCCCCCGCTGCCACACAGCCGGCCACACGCCTAACCATAGCCGAACGTGCTACTTCTCTACATCCTCTCACTTTCGTTGTGTGCAACTACAGGGTGCGTGTTTCGTTGCAGAGTTAGGTAGAGCGCACTTAGCGGCTGAGCGTGCTTTAGACGCTTGTAGGATGACTGGGATGCGCCAGGAAAAATAAATGCGACGGATGCTGAAGGAGAGAGGCTGATAGGCCACATAGCTCCCCTGTGGAACTTTGGGGACTTTTAAGCTTTGATAGCTTCGACAAAACCGTAATATACCCGTGTGCAAAAACTTCGCACAACACTTTCCACTAATCCGGGGGAAAACTCCCTGATATTTTTGATTTTCTCCAGGGCGACTTATTCAAAGTGTCGCAGGATTTTCTTTCTAACCTAATATTTCACTTGTCACATGGATCAACTGTGCTCCCGTTAGTAACCGAATTGGTCGAGCTGGTGCAAGTAACGTTTCTACTCGTTCCAGCAGCGTGTTAGAGTTGCCGGCACTATTTACCCTTCACTGCCCCAACCATCCGGAAGACAGTTTTTGACCGACTTCTTTCTCCGTGGCTCGAATGCTGTCTCCTGAGGTTCCCGAAACTTCCTGGCGCCGGCACACAGGCGCCGTGATTTCGGGTATTTTGGCGCCAGGCGCCAGACACTTTACCGTGCAAAAAATGCAGTAAGCCAGGAGATGGGCTTTTTGAGGGGGACGAGATTACGGGGTGGGTGAGGCACTTCTGTCGCGAGAGGAATTTAAAATGTATGGCGGGGGGGTCACGGTGGTCATGGAGCGCAACGCGGACGAGAGAGCGCAAAGAAAAACAGAAGTTTGACGCGATCGAAAGGATTGAGTTCTGATGGTCGTAGACCTGACTGTGGTGTCGAATGTTCTCACAGAAAAGAAACAGAGACTTTCATGTACAACGGAAGAGCGTCGGCACGGGAGGACACAGAACCGCAATCATCTGCCGCGACAACAAAACACATTCAGTTGGATCCAGTTCTTGAATTATAAAATTTATTCACAAAATAAACACAACATGAAGAATTAATACGGTTGAGACAGCCACACCAATGCTGGACACTAAGAAAGCAGCAATGAATACCCAAAAATACTGACTGAAAAACTTAATTACTGAGAAAATCCAGTAAATAAGCTATGATAGAAACATACTCGAAAAGTTGCGGTTTCAGATCTTTCTTGCTAGGGCTCTTAGAGACCTGAATGTTTCCATTTATTGTGTCAAGAGACAACATGTTCAACTTTCAGGTTAGTCCTTTGCTGTGGGAGAATGAGTGCGGTGGGGTCCAACATCTGTAATAGCGTGTTAGTTTTTCTCGCTCAGAAGGCTTTGGGAACGGAGCTGGGTGGCAGAGATACCCGAGTGCTGCCTCCATACTCCCCCCCATGCTATACTCGAGATGCAGCGAATGAGTCCATACCGAGCAGGGCACATCATTATTTGGAGGATTATGTCGAATCCGTACCGACCCCCTTTTTTATTTGAGGCGCTTGTGGTACTACCCCTCTCCGGCTCTCTGTCTCTCCTCATCGACTATCGATAATTAGGGAGAAGCCGCGGGAAAAATACGATCGCCCCTTCTACCAATTCTCAGATTTTCCCTAACTTCCTGCCACTTTTCCAAAGTTTCCCAGAATTCCTCTACTTTTACCCCAAAAATTTTGTGACTGAGCGAACGGGGGGGGGTATGTGGTTACAGAGCATGAAAGATAACGAAAAAGTTAAACCTTCCGATGGAATAGGAGCGCAGGAAAAAGCAGAAAGTAATACGACACCCCTTCCCGCATATCCCAAAAACAGAAGCGAGTTCGACATCATTACACCCCTTCTCTAATATTAAAAAACACGCTGCGTGCGCGCTCGATTCGCAAACTATCAAAATGAATTTTTCTCAGCCCAAGTACGACCCCCTCTGCCGCGCAGCCAATAGATCCCCCCCGCACCTGTTGGGTATTCCCCAACAACGATGTGTCCTGATACCGAGATTTCGCAGAGGAACACGCACTCAGCGTTAGACAACAACCCTAAGCGAGAGGGCACAGCACAAAGATAGCGCCGCGCCTTTCTCTATGGTGTAGCGTTTCGCTGGCAGTGCTGCAGTTAGGAGATGCACCCGAGTATTCTTGAACCTTCGCCACGCTTAACCTTGTTCCTGTGCACTTGGACCCAAGAAAATGGCGCACTACTGCAGCTGCGGACACATGTTCCCGTACGCGAAAAGGACCAGAATTCACGGAGGTAAGTGTGCATTTTGTCTTTAAAAAGGAATCTGCTTTTCCGATATGAAACTTCACACTTGCATTGCCATATCACATTGACATCGGACGCACACCGTGTCCCTATCTATTAAAAATGACTGCCTTGTTCTTAATAGAGCACACTGTAAGGGAGCCTATATACTGTAGTTCATTGCGGACGGTAGGGCGTGTTCGTGCGGCTGCGTTTGCGTGGCTGCCAAACTCAACGAGTTGTACAAGGCCGATGCAATTAAAAGATACATGTTATCACAGCCTTCGTTTTAACTTGTTTTTTGATGTTTTTTGTCGTCCTGCCGATTTTTCAAACAAGATCAGGAGAGACGACAGGCTCAAAGAGGGTGGACACACTCGCTTCTGGCTGACCCGCCCAACGTCCGCAGCGAAGAGTAGGAGTGTTACCCGCTGCCGGTGGACGTGTCATGATGTGTCAGAATACTTGCGCGCCATCTAGACGGGAGAACTCGTCCAGATCTCTGAACTTCCGACTTTTTGCAACTGACACACATGAACCGCAGAATGACGATTCGTTCACATGTTATGTCATTCAGTTTAGAGCTTAGCGCACACTGGCGCGTGCGTCAATGTAGCCATCACTTGATTGAAGTAGCTGGTGAGATACCACCCAGCGGCTTCGGAATTTCTTCTTTCGTCCGTTTTATTATCTTCATCGGCCCTGAAAAGGCCTTGTATCTTACGCAAATATGACATTAGCAGCTCGCCAGATTAGCCGCTGCAAGCCCCAGCTACATACGTCCTCACCAGCAAAATTCGATGCCTCTTCATTCAGTCCCTTCTCCTGGAGGGTCCTTCTGCATGCACACCCGCATGCAGCAATAGACCCTCCAGATGGTACTCCCTAATGAAATTATAGTATCAATGATAAATACATTTACTGCTGCTTATCACACCACTGTAAATAGTACCAGGGGTGTTACATAGTGGGAAAAATGACGAAAAGCGAGTCAAACTGCAAAAATCGGCGAAGAGTTTTTGCTCTGTAGGGCATCCGACGAACACACTAGACGAGTCATGAAGCAACGCCTAACACTATATGCACTTCATAACTAGAGCGCTAAATGTACCAGCGTCGATGTGACGCTCCCTTTTGTGGGGGTACAGTAGCGGTGGGCGTGTGGGTTGTGTTGCGCCTTAGTTAAGCGCTGTAACGGTGTCCTTGGTTGGGAAAGGTGCCACGCAGCTTGGAAAGGTCGCGGGGAACAACATTCTTTTGTGCTAGGCTTATCGACCTTATACACCTTGACGATCTATGTTGCCAGAACTTGCCTTGTTTTTGATCCGAGTGTATGTGGGGAAAGAAAAATGGAGCAAGGCTTTATTGGAACGATATACTTCACATTTGCAGAGTACTTCTCATTACTTTGCCACATCGATATTGAAATGATGTTCACGAGTTCCATTACTAATCATTTTCACAGCAAATCGGTCCGATCCTCTCAATAAACCATCGCTCATCTTCGTCACTATCGTTTCAATAGGCTTCGCTACAGAATCCAGTCTCAGAAAAACTTTTGGATTATCCCTCTTGATAGTTATGTTTCGGCGATAGATTCTGCGGTGATGCCTCCTTATGTGCTTTCTGCGTCTTATTGGTTTAACAATGGGTCGAGGATTGACATCAGAGCTGAAACGTTCAAGATGATAGAACTGTTCTCAAGAAGATGAGCCCTCCAAAATTAATTACAAACAATATTCCGATGCGCCATGTATTCGACAGTATTCGTAACTGTAACAGCATTAGCATGTGTGCTCCACTTTTAATTTTGACTTTTGCGAGTCAGCCAATGTACAAATTGTACGTTTTGACTACCTGAGTCGGATCCTAGTTAAACCTTGCAAAGTATAAAATTTTCGCTTTTTTGAAGGGTCCTGAACGAATTTTTTCTGTGTGGATTCCTTCCTAGACTATGTGCAGGAACGGAGGGAGGGGGGCAGTTATTACTATCTCTGCCGTCTCTGCTTGGATGGGAATTTCCGAAACTGCTTCGAGATAGAGTCAAGAAATATTGGTTCATCGAGCATAATTGCCTCGCAATTACCGATTACCGGAAGCTGACGGTTCATTGGTTCACACACCATCATTGAAGTAGTTGTGGGACGTTTTCAGTACGTTTGAACTTGCAGTCATTTCCGTACGCAAAGGATTTGAAAAAAGCTCCATTTGGAACGCTGAGGTGTACCCCTGCTGATCAGGCCTAGCATGGTGCATTTCTGCCAGAAAGGTTCAGCTCCCCAGAAGAAATATTTCCTGAAGATATTTTTCTCTGGGTGGAGTCGATTAGTGGCAAGCAGCATCCCTTACCACGCGCAGGTCAAAGAGTCATAACCCGTATCGGCTCTTGTGCCGGTCAACTGAGGTGTGTTTCTATCCTCTGGAAGTGCTTGGGCCAAACTCGTTTGGCTAGATTAGGACGCCAACTTGAATCGCGGTTGGTCTTCGCAAGCCTTTGTATGAACCTCATCGCATACAAAATGTCCGTGCGGTTTTGAATGGAAGTGAAAAGCGTGGCGCTTCCCAAAGAAAGATGGATCAACGAACGAAGCCTCCAAGCTTTGAGCTTTTACTCACGTTTTGTATGAAAACGACTTCTCTGGGATGACCAGCGGTACATCAGGCGGAATATTGAATCCCTTCACATCGTTTTGCGCTTCACTGAAAATGATGATGAGGTTTTTTAAAGTCCAACGTCCGTATTAGAGAAACACTCGGATTGTATTATTGGTCATTCAGAATATTTTCCCTGCAAGTGGCTGTGTACTTTTACTCTCAGAAATTCTTAAAGCCAGCTACAATGAGGCTGCGTTCATACTCCGCAAACACCAGTACGGCAGCGTTTTGAGCGTACACCAGCGCCAGCAACTAGGATAGTATAGACAAATAAACTTTTGGTGGGGGTCCTGCCACGACAGACCACCAGAGCGCAGAGCAATAAGGGACTGCTACAGCTAAGGCATCGTGAGGTAGAAAAACATTATGCGAGCCAGGAGATGAGCTTTTTCGAAGGGAGGGGACACCGGGGTGGATGAGCCACTTAGTATGCGTGAAAAGTTGGAATGTGAAAGGTCAAAGTGGCCATAAATCGCCATTCAGGCAAGAGAGCGCAGAGAAAAAAGAAAGTTGGCGCCATTAAAGGATTGAGTTTTAGCTAGACCGAGAGTGTAGGTATCAATCTAGCGTGCGCCAACCTTTCCGCGGGCTATTTGAGCCTGAGCAAAAGTGCCCGCGGAAACGCTGTTCTAGGCATGCATACTCTAGACAGATACCTACACGTTTATAGTCCAGCGCTGGCGACGCTTGTAAGCGGTGCCTTAGACTAGCGTACGCTTCACAAACTATGAACGCAGCCTAACCAACCACGCCGCTAGACCAGTAACCTACTTGTGTGAGTCATAACATTGAGAAACAGCCCTGAAGAGACTTAGGTGACCATAGAAGACGTCATGACAGCCGCAGCACCATCATATAGGGTGCTAGAGGGGACGTAGTGCCGACCACCAAGCAGTAAATACCAAACGGAAGAGGTGTCACGAAGTCGCAGGCTAGTAAATTACTTGGTAGGGAATAGATATATTATAATATACGTGTTATCGACGTCACATAACTAACTGTAAATAAATAAATAACCAGGTGTATAAAGTAGTCACTGACAAAGACATAATGAGGGCTTCCTCTTCATTAACGCATGTTCCTCATCACCTTCCTGCTAAATAGCGCGTAACCCGACTCTCAGTGGGTAAGGGGCCTGCGCTACACCTAGGGTACAATATGCAAACTAAGTGAACTTCGACGACAAAATCACTGAGTGTACTTATCAGAGCTCTTTCCCCTATTAGGCCCCGCTTGCATCAAATCGGCAGTTGTTCCGTGCCCAAGTGGAGGCCATCAGCGGTATATGTAACGTTCGAAAAGAGTTCTACGCTGACTGCGATTCAACAGTCGCAGCGGTCCAACCATTAGCGGTGGAGCGCGATCAGTCGCAGTTATGCAGTCCCCAAATCGTGCGATTGAATGGCTCGGGCGGCGGAGGACGACACGTTCCAGGAAAGCGCTCGTGCAGCCTCCGCTATGGAAGGTTTAGGACCGGTGTGGAGGGAGGGGGGGGGGGTTCGGTGGTGCAACTTGCCCATAACTCAGCATGAATGTGAGCTGACTACCGGAGACATGAAAGGAAGGATTCTTACCTCGCCAATACAAGAAAGAGCAGGAAGAGAGAAGCGAGCTTCCACATTTTCCCTATAACGTTTGCACTGGTCAGTACTGCGCTCATTTTGGGCTTTTATGGTGACTCTTCCGCTAACAGATTCCACATAATGGCCCAAAATTGTTGCTACGCTTTTGAATTGTAATATGTGCTCTTGGGCACTTTTAGCGGTGAAGCATTTGTACAGCCAACGATTCGACACGATCGTATTCTTCAGAGGCATTTTTCACGATAAAATAAAGCTATGACCTCTCAAATGCGTCAGGTGATCCGGAAGGCAATTCCGGAGTATGTGCCACTTTCAAAATGTGGAAATTGGCTAGAACTCCGCTGGAAGCTTGACCATTTAGGCCATGGACACCCTTAGTCATGCGACCCCACCGGCTGCTAGCTACTAGCTAGTAGCCACTATGCTATCTCTCTCCATTCCGAATGGTGAGAGTGAGGTGATAAGATAAAAGAGCTGATATCTTTATGATAACGACGAGTGGAAATTCGTACAAACACGCTTTTTTCATTGCATGCACGTCTCTCTACTTCGCTGCGGCGGTTGGGCGTGTCAGGCAGTATGAGTGTGCCACCCCATCAAAGCCGTTCTCTACCTTCTTGTTGAAGCACGCATGCGACAAAAAGTGGTAGAAAACGAGTAATACGAAGGATATGATACAGTATTGTCACTTGCCCTTCAACAACTGGTGGAGAACGAGTTTGGCACCGCGCCAAACGCAGCCGCACTGACACGCCCAACCGTCCGCAGCGAACTACACTATACCTATGGGATTACATGGAGTCTATTTATGACATTTCTGATAGTTTTTCTGCATTTTTTTTTCTCCGCAAATCAGCTACTCTAGTACTTTTTCGTTTTTATTGAGCTCCGTTACCAGCGATCTGTGGTTGCTGGCTTTGCTTTAGAGGTTTGGAAGCATTTCACTACGCATTCGTAAGTGTGCGTTCCTGCGACTCAATGTGAACCTCAAATTCAGCCATCCATACTTCATAAATAGGTATTATAGGCAATACAAATAAAGCGAGTTGCAAGAGCCAGACTAATAACCTTGAGGGGAGGGGGAGCACATCTGTAAGAGTTTGTCAGTATGCACAACCACGTGAACTATATGCAGGTGAATACCGGACAACCTCTCAGCACCATGTAGAGCTGCTTTCACGGTCACTCCATACACAAAGCAGCTGGGAGATCAGGCAGCCAATACCGATCGTCTGTTGAAACACCCTGTCATGTTAAAACACCACCACACTGTCATCCTTCAAAAGGGCAGGGCAAGACCCGCGGTATGCAAAAAAGTAAACATGGCTTTTTCCATGTGCTATTTATTTTCGAAGTAGCTTACATGAACGAGGAAAAGCTCCACGACCGTTCCCACGTCAATCGAGGTGGCGTCCAACGCAGCGTTGCGCCACCTGTTTTCAGCCATCTTAAAGGCAGTTGGCACGATAAATCCCTCAAGACGACTAGGATTAATACGCCTGGCAGGACGGAATTCCGCGACCCTGAGCAGGCGCTGCCATAACGGTTTCCCCGAGAAGTACATTATAGGGCCCTATCAAGCCACAACATTACGTCCCAAACGCCCGCCACGCCCGCCCGCCCACAAATGGACGACCGTTCCTGACGCGTATTCATTCATTTGCTAAGCAAATTATGAAGCGAAGGGATTGGTATGAAGCGGCCGTGATGCTGCATGCATACATGGGTACACATATGCAGCCGTATCTTCGTAGCGGTGATTGGCAAGATGCCTACGGGAAACTCGTCCGAAATCGATTTACAAGTCACTGAGAACGGAGGCTTTTTCTTCGCAGGATTTTGACCGTTTCACTCCGTTCTTTCGCCATTTCCCCACTATACAGCGCCCTACTAGCATTTTAGGCTAAGTAGGAAACCATCGTGCCAACTGCCTTTAAGGTGCCCATAAACTGGCAGAGAACCCGCAATAACAACGCTGTATGCTGTAACAATACTGCTGTATATTCTTGGTCTTATACCTTGCTCTAAAAAACAGCTCAAGCTTGAAATTATGACTGGACATTTAGGCCAGCAGCCAGGCTATCATAGGCTTTTTTTCTGCCTTGCAAAGCCACTTCCAGCGAAATTTCCATAGTACAATCAAGGCGCAGTACCAATCGCGATTTCGAGCACATTATCTCTTCCACGAGATTATCGCTTTCTTCGACCATTTCAGGCGCTGCTATCTTTCAGGCTACTGGCAAAGAAACTCCGGTTATCGCCCACCCTGTCGTGCTTCATAGCATAATTTAAAGATAGAATTTCGACATCGGGCAACGAGATGCTTCTGATATGGAAATGCGTTCAATTTCTCGAGCTTTTGCGAACGCTTTTCATGGGGGCCTGCGAATGTTTCCGTGGCCTATGTGACACATCGAATCTAAGTGGCTGCTGTGCTGAATACCTATAGGCCATCTTGTTTTTGTACCCAGATGATATGCGGGGAAAAACAGGATTGGCAGTCGTGGTTTAAAAAGAGAATAAATCATTGATACAACCATATCTCCTCAGTAAGTATGACGTTTCAGCTCGGCTGGGAGTTTGTTCCTCATGGACTAGAAACAAATTGCGTGGAAAATCGCCATGTGACGTTTGTTTTTCCCGCTCGCTTTTGTTTTCCATACAGAAGGACTGTGTTATTATACTGAGCTTCAGCACACATTGGTTGGGGATTCCCTATGGGGGGTCGTATTTGGCCGCCAAAAGGGGGGGTCGTATTTGGGCTGGGAAAAATTTATTTTTATAGTTGATTTTTCTCGCTTTGCGGACGTTTTGGAGGGGGGGGTCGTATTTGGTCGTTGTTGGGAGGGGGGTCGTACCAGCCCCTGAAAAAGGGGGGGGTCGTAAAAGCTCGACCAAAATCCCCATCGAATGCTGTGCCCTGCTGAGCTAGATGATGAAGAGCTTGCTCACTGAGAATCGTCGCAGTTTTCAGGCTCAAACCGTGAGATGGACGAGACGAGAGGCGCACTACCATTACACTCGAAATCCCTCAGATGTAGTAGGCGTGGCTGCGTACTTCAGCAAAATGTGGCGGTGGTCGTGCTTATGATGAGATATTCTCATTTCGACACAGTTGTCGTCATGTCTTTGTCCAACACTGAACAAAACGACAGTTGTCATAAATTGTTTTATCCCGTGAGTGAACTGAAATATTCCACGAGTAACCCATTCTGTGCCATATTCAAATGCCACGCCTACTCCGTCTCAGGGATAAGGAGTGTACATACAATACCGCTCTCAACTTGCGGGAAAAGGGCTGAGTAACCCGCCACAAAGTGTAGCGCTGACATAACTCCTTTTAACCCATTGCGTACCGCGTGCTGCACCATGTGCAGCACGCTCATTCGTCGCTGTATGGCCGCGTGCTGCACATGGTGCAGCACGATGATTTTCCGCTCCATCTGGATTATTTTGCATCCTTTTCTGCTACAAAGTTGCGAGCATATGTTTTCGAACACGGAGAACAACATAAGTACAGTCCTCATCATTGCGGACCGGTGGGGCGTGCCAGCCAGAAGGAGTGCGCACACTGTTGAAGCCGTTCTCAGCCTTTTTTTGCAACGCGTATGCGACAAAAAGTGGTAGAAAACGAGTAATACGAAGGATATAATACAGTAATGCACTTGCCCGCTTCAAAAACTGGTGCAGAACGATTTTGCCAAACCGCACCAAAGCAGCCGCACTGCCACGCCCCACCGGTCCGCAATGATGAGGACTGTACGTGGGACCTCGATCGCTGAAGGAGCACTTGGGTTATTGACCTCTTTCATGAAATACTTCAACTGTGATCTTCTTCATTTATTTTCAACGTCCATAAACACTCATAAAGGATTAAACAGGACACCGTTGATGATATGTGTGGAAACACATAATGCAGAAATATTGATCGCAGGTTGTGCATCCTGTATTCACTAATATTGTGTGGTTTCTAGCGTACCATTCGTCCGGGAAAGGTAGTTCGCCCTCGTCGAGATTGATCCAGTTCAAGTACTTTGCGATAGCATAACGATCGGCTTCTCTTACAATCAAATCAACGAGATGGTCTGAGAAAAATCGCCGGAAAAATCTGATTGGGTACTGGTAAAATAGAACATCTTCATCCAGTACACCACCGAAACCTTGGAAGTCAAAATTGTTCTGCCTGCTGATATTTGGGGTCCATTGAATCCTCCATCGTTTGCACCTGAGCCTTCTTCGCTTGATTCCCAATCGGACTCATCACTTTAATGATTCACGCGGACAAACATATCCTCAGAGGTATCAGGGCCCTGTCCCATCACTTCGTGGTCATTTTCAATCAGAAGTTCATCAAACGATCTATTTCGCGTCCATCATTGCCTATTTGGAACAGCTACCATAAATTAAGCGTAGTTTCTCAAAAATAAAATAGCCTGGAGAAGCGAAACGACGTACGTTGAGTTTATACTTCGCTGCGGGCGCGAGAAATACCGCTCTGCGTGGCCGCGTGCTGCACCATGTGCAGCACGCCGGCGAGGTTGCGAAATATGGCTCGGGCACACGCGGCAGCCAGCGAAAAACGCCGCGGTACGCAATGGGTTAAAGTGGACGAAACAGTGAACATCCTTTGGTTCTGGTAAGCGCGGCGAGTTTAACGGTAATGGGAAGTGAAATCTTGGGAAGCAGGTCACCAGCTCCTACCTGGGAACTGTCGTGGCTCCATTTTTCGTCATCTGGGCACGGCACCACCCCTTTGAGCCTCACCTGCAAGTTCTTATTGCATCATCATTTCGCTTACTCACTTCCCGATGCTCACTTTATCAATTTTAATGCAATGGTCAGAGCATGAGCTAGTAACTTGGTTTCGTGATATTTCTGAACGTTGAAGGCTTATTTCTCGAAGCCTAGGATGACGTCGACGAAAACACCAGACAACTGCAAACAACGAGGAGGCAACGTAGTCAATTCACCACACATTTGATTGCAGGTAAACAATTCCTTGATTTAGCCTCAATCTTCGAAAAGGTCATTCTCTTGTTATGATCTCCCAAATTACACACCATGCATCATGCCACAA